ACTCAATACTGAAGGAGAAAAAGTTGGAAGACTGACACTATTCAATGTCAAGACATTAGATAAAGCTACAGTAATCAAGGCAGTGTTGTATATACAAAAATAAATCAATGAAATGGAATAGAGAGTCCAGAAATAGGCACACACAAAATATAGTTAACTAATCTTTGACAAAGGAACAAAAGCAATTCAATGGAGAAAAAATAGCCTTTTCACCAAATGGTGCTAGAACCAATGGACAGCCACATATAAGACAAAACAAAAAATTTAGATACAGACCTTATACCTTTCATAAAAATGAACTCAAAATGGATTACAATCTAAAGAACAAAATAAAGTGATGAACAAAATAGATCCAGAGATACAGAAGCATGGGACAGACTGTGGAATCTCAGAGGGAAGGTAGGGGTGAGTGGGTGGGTGGGTGAGTGGGTGGGAAGAGATTAACCAAAAAACTTATATGCATAACCCATGGACACATTCAACAGTGTGGTAAAGGCCTGGGAGGGTAGAGGGTGGCAGATGCAGGGTGGAAGGAGTCAATGGAGAAAAATGGGACATCTGTAATACTTTCAACAATAAAGAAAAATGTTTTAAATGGATTACAGATGTCCATAAAAAATATTATACAAAGATAACATTGGAGAAAATCTAGGTGACCTTAGGGTTGGAGATGACAACTAGAGGCCCAGTGCATGACATTCGTGCACTAAGAGGAGGGGTTGTCCCTCAGCCCAGCCTGCACCCTTTTGCAATCCGGGAGCACTCAGGGGATGTCCGACTGATGGCCCATCCTTAGTGCTGCCGCGGAGGCAGGAGAGGCTCCCACCACCACCGCTGCGCTCACCAGCTATGAGCACGACTTCTGGCTGAGGGGCGCTCCCCCTATGGGAGCGCACTGACCACCAGGGGTCAGCTCCTGTGTTGAGTGCCCCCTGGTAGTCAGTGCGTGTCATAGCAACCTGTCGTATGCCATTTGGTCAATTTGCATATTATCCTTTTATTATATAGGAGGATACCAAATGTATGATCCTTAAAAGAAAAAACTTATAACATGGACTTCATTAAAATTAAAACTTATGCCCTACACTTAAAATGGCTGCAAGGTGGCTGGCACCTGACCTAAAAAAAGACGTGGAGTGGGCAGCTACCTCCTGGCCTAAATGAAAGTGATACTGAGTATAATTCTGAAGATTAAGACAAATTAGAGAACCCTGAACTTCATTTCCAGGAAGATAAAGATGGGACTATTACAGAAACAGCTATCTCAGATTTCC